TTAGTAAAAATCAGGTAATTAAATAATTAATTAATTATAAAAAATAGAATTCTATTTGAAACTTTAATAAGTTACATTTTAAAAGTATTTAAAAAGCTTGAGATCTTTAGATTAAGTTAATTTTGAATCATTCTACAAAAATCAAGCTAAAATATTTCTTATGACTTCTTTTCGCTTTAACCTATTATAATTTTTTTATGGCTGATAAAGAAGGATATAAAGATTTAAAAAATGAAATTTTCAAGTTTTTAGCATAACTAGAAACTAATACTATTGCAGATAATAGTAAACAAATTCGAAAATTTCAAAATGAATTTGTTAGTTCTAATATACAATTTTTTTTTACACGAATAACAATATACTTCAAAGACCAACTATAATTTCTATTATGGCTCTTAATATACTACAACAAATTCAGATAAAAAGAATGATGACAAAGAAGCATACATCACCACATGGTAACCGTTTAGAAAGAGGAATTCCTGTCATAGGTGAGAGAGCTGGAGGTAGTAATAATGTTGAATCGCTCATTAATCGTTGAACATCTAATTTTTCTCTAAACATTTCATTATACTCATCTTCAAATAATTCCAAAAACATTTCTTCTTTCTATAGTTTGAAATTTAATTATTATTTTTAAAGTATGTAAAATTTATATCAAAGAGTAAAAAGGTATCATTCTTTATTTATTTTTTAAAATAAATAATCTGTTTACTTTAAAAAACTGACGAAGAATAGGTAAAATTTTTTCTTTTGCATTATAAATGATTGCAACATGTTTATCTGATATACAAAATTTGTTTTCATTAATTGTTAATTTTTTTAGTAATTCAATAGCCATTTCTAAAGTTACTGATCGAACACTGCATTCTATAAAAAATTAAATCTATTAAATATAAATGCAGTTTAAATTATGTAAGTTACCTTGTCTACTATTAGCTTACTGGAATCAGATGATACTGCAATTATATTAACTAATTTATCAATAAGCTTTTCTCTTTCATCACCATGTACAAATAAACTAGAGGTTTCATCAATATCAACAGGTGTCAAAAAGCCTTCAAAAAACTGTTTTGCAACACCACAATTTTGTGATAATGCGTATAAAAGACAAATGCCAAATAATGCAGAGCTATCTGATTTTTCAACTTCAAGTTGATTGTAAATTGATTCTATACATTTACTACGTGAGGGGCTTAAACCTAATAAACATTAAACATTTTTAGTCTTGATAACTTTAAAGATAATATAAGTAATATGACAGATTCAGATCATAATTTCACTTTAACTATATAAATACTGATGAATAATGAAACACCAGATTAAAAGAGGTTCATATGAAACCCATGTGCTTTTAATATTTTCATTTTTTATATTAATTATCAATATAAATGCTTAATACATTTTAAATTTAAAAACTATTTATGTATAAAGATTATGTTTAAAGATATATGTATGGAATATTTTATCGGTTCATCAAGACTTCATAATTTTTAGTTCTTAGTATCAGACTAAAAAATGAAATTTGTAAATTTTAAAAAAAGTCAACAAAACAAGATCTGAGTCTTGATACTTTATGTCTTGCTTTTAAAGATCTCATATTTATGATTTAGTACTTAGTTGGTTATTAAAAATATAAAATAAACTGGATTACTCGGGTTATTAGATATATGCACATCTGTATTACCAAGAGTTTACCATA